CGACAGAGTGTCTGGGGCCCTTTAGCGAGCTTCCGAGTTAATTGCGCGCTGAGTGATGGGAGGAGCATTATCCTTGTCACAGCAAAGCAAAGAGGTTGGACGGCAAGGAGAAGCGGGGCACTCCGAGGAGACGCCGCATGCGCTCCCGGGGCACTTTGTGTAAACAGGGCACGGGAGGGGGAGGGAGGAGAAACCCTTCTACGAAAACAAAGTCCGCGCCGTGCATTCGTCCCACCCCCCCTCCTCTCCCCAAGGCCTGGCTTTCTCTGGGGCGGATTTTCCTCCCTCCCAAGGTGTTTTGCTGAATTGCTAAAATGCGCAAACAAGGCAGGACGCGGCTTTACAAGGCAGACGCAAGAATGCTGCCCAGATAACACGCAGAGACACACACGCACGCGCACACACGAAGAAAGAGATTGCCCCTTTTGGGGCTGCACTGATTGTTGGGGCAATTGTTGTTGTTTGCGAGCACCTATGAAGGTGGGTGCACGAAGCTATGGTGGCGCCATACCCTGGCTTGTCATGCAGGAGAAGGTGGTACAGCAAATGTGGGCTTCAAATTGTACCGTCTGTATGGGATAGAGTGTTGCCCCCTCGCACGCGTGGCTTCCTCACACATGAACACTAATTGATTGGTCGAAAACACCTTAACATATAGAGAACCGCAGAGCTTGGTAGGGTGGTGGAATTTGTCGCTGGCTCACCCTATTCCCAATTGTACGTCGTTATTTGTGCCTCTGAGTCGTTCTCTCTCTCTGGAAATAAATGGTGCTACGTTGGCGAGATGTTAACTACCTCGCCTGGCATGCAGGAGGTCGTGGGTTTGATCCCAACTTTGATGCCTGCTGTGTATTTGGAGTTTGCATGTCTCTCTCCCCGTACCCTCCACATTTATAATCACGTGTTTCGAGTATTTGGCTGCTAGAAATTTCCACTTGCTAAGCGACTTCGTTGAGCTATCATTTGTGGCCAGATCGCTTCTGAAAATTCGCTATATCGCTCAGTGGGCCTTACCTGGTAAAATAGAAAAAAAAGTTTCGTCTAGAATGAACGCTATGAGATTATTATATATTTAAATGACGTGATGACAGAGAACACACACTTGCGTTAATCTGCAAAATAAAAAAAAATAATGTTTGGCTTCCATCCCTAACCGCAGTGGGTTTGACAAATAAGAGACAAGCTCCAGCATGAGGCCGATAACATTTCATCACATTTTCCGTGAGCTCCCCTATTTATAAGCTTAACCCCCCACCCACCCCCCATTAAAGTCAAACATTACTGCGTATGGCTAACAACAACAACAAAAACAAAACCTCTCCATTTTTCGATTTAAAGCTTTCGTGACTGCAGGGATTCATCTTCTTGGTTCTTTCGGTAAAGTCACGTAGAAGGGAAATAATAAAATAATAAAAATAAACATAATAAAGTAATTATTATATAAGTTATTAAAACATAATAAAATAATTATTATATAAATAATTATTTTATTATGTTTTATTTTTATTATTTTATTATTTCCCTTCTACGTGACTTTACCAATAGAACCAAGAAGAAAAAAACCTCTACAATTATATGTATATTTCTTTTCAGAATTCATGGGCAAATAATAATTGTTGTTATTATATAACCAGTTAAACTTGCCATCAATTTAGGAACATAGTGCATTGGTAATGCAGCAGAGTAACTAAAATCCATTACTCTGGGTTTAAAAGAAATTAATATATAACAGTCGACGTTTTGGGCATTAACCAAAACGTTCAGCATCGAAAAGAGCGACGCTCACCCTGCTCGTTTTAACACCGCATATGTTAAATGTTCTTTACTCAGTCAAGTCGAATCACCGTTTACAGGCGGTACACGCAAATCTCTACTTGGGCTGCAACGCCCTAGGAGATGGCGATGCAACAGCGGATTCGGTCCGCGACTACACATTTGGTCCACTCACTGCACTGAGCCTACGGAATGAATCCATCGATCAGCGTGATGTCCCACCTTTCGCTCCGAAGTGCGGGGGTCATTTTTTTCGATTTAAAGCTTTCGTGACTGCAGGGATTCATCTTCTTGGTTCTTTCGGTAAAGTCACGTAGAAGGGAAGTAATAAAATAATAAAAATAAAACATAATAAAATAATTCTCACGACGTTTCGGCCACAACGCAAGCAGCCGTCCTCAGGTGAAGACCAGGTCTGTCTTCATTCAGACGCTGTCTCCCCGACAGACCTGGTCTTCACCTGAGGGCGGCTGCTTGCGTTGTGGCCGAAACGTCGTGAGAATTATTTTATTATGTTTCATTATTTTATTACTTCCCATCTACGTGACTTTACCGAAAGACTCAATAAGATGCGGGAATCATCTTCCCGAATCGAAGGCGAAAGGACGATGACCTCGAAGCTCCACATCACGTGGAGGCAAATCTTTGGACATCGTGCCGAACGACGCCCGTGGTGGCGCACACCAGAGACCCGTACCGCACAACCGCGGGACACAAAAAAAACCCTCCGCGAGATTCGATGCAGGCTGGCTCAGTGACGAGTCAGCCGGAGCGCTAAGTCACCCGGCCGCAGTACTCGATGAAACCTCTTCCCGCGGAGCAAATAACCAAGTCGGGAATGTGCACTTCATTCCCTGTCGCGTATTTTATTCAAGGCCACGTTCGAGCGTTCCCCCATCACGAGTCCTGTGGGGCCAAAAGAGCCGAGGACCAAGATCTCATTTCCGCCGGGACGATACCAGGTGGTCGGTCACACACAGCGGGGGAGCCCAGCCGATGCATGTTCTGCTCCGCGCGTTAGGGCTGCCTTGACTCTCTGGGGCGATGACAGCCATTGTTGTGACCTTTCGGATCCAGTTACGGGGCAGAGGCACGGCGGAGTGGTGCGGCGTTTGGGTAAGAGGCGCAACGGGCAACGAGGTGGGTGGGTGAGTTTTAGTTGAGGATGGAGAGGGGCGCACGCGCGCGCATCAGTGGGTGGGGGTGGACTTTTGGTTTTCGCTATCTGCCGCTTGACAGCAGATGTGTTCCAGATGGGTGACTGCTGTGGAACCCCAACTGCGGAGGGAAAATATTATCGCCTCGGCCTTTTGAGATTTCAGCGCCCCCCCCCACACCAGCTAGCTAAAGCTAGCTGGTATGCACGCATGGATTTCAATTAATCGTCGTCGTCAGCATCACGATTTCCATTCGCCTTTAATTTGTGTGTGTTTTTTTGTACTCCCATGAAATGTGGTTCGTAATGAGGGGAGCAAGCGCGCATATACCGCCGCCCCCATCGCTGGGGCATTAGGTTAGTTTTTTGAAAAAAAAATTTTGAAACATATAAAAGTGACGTATTATGAAGTGGAATGTTGTGCTTTAAAACACATGGGGCTAGCATACCTTGGAGCATAGCTCTATTCACTTTGGTAGGCATTTTATTTTATTTACAATGCTAAATACTAGACCTCGAATACACTGATACTCATCTTGTTCAGAAACTGCAGAAAACGCGTGTTTAGCCATTTTGTCAATCCACTGCTGGACATCTGCCTCCCTCCCCACAAAGTGTTAGTCACGAGAGGAGGGGGGGGGGGAGGTTGTTCGACCATATTTCACCATTGCTGGTCAATGCGAGTTGGTGAATGGTTAGCAGCTGTTGCAGCTGGGAATCGAACTCAGGTGGCTGGACTCGATAACCACTTGAATTTCAACCGCCGTGGCTTTACTGCTCTCTCGTGAACTTCGCACGTGGATTCCTCCACGTGTAGAGGACCTCGCTCTCCCAGGCACTGCCTCTTTCGTCTCATCCGCGCTGTGTTCAACCACCATCACCACAGAGCAGATTACAACAACAAAGACAAAGATCCCGCCCGTATAGCCTTAACAGACCGTCGAGGCAAGTGCCGTTAGCGAGCACCTTTGAAAGCGGACACGGCACACGAGGGCGGTGAGTGGCCACGCCCGACCGCCTTTGTCTCCCCGGTGGCGATGTCTACACACCGCACCAGGCGCATACTCATTTGAGGCTGAGTCGACCCAGGGGAGGCCCACGACCGGTTGAGATAATCGTCACCGGTGGTGTGCCCTGAGCGGGAATCGAATTGGGGTCGCCGGGTTCGTAGGGTGGTGCGCTAAGCACTGCGCCACCACTCAACCCACTCACCGCACTGCAGGTCCCAACACATCTCTCCGTTTATTCCCCAAGCATTGCCCGACTTTGGAATTCCCTCCATTCGTGTCTCTCTTGTTAAGTCCCTATACAATAACAACTCACGATCCGTACTAAGTCTTATCCGTTGCAACTTTACAGTTCAGTTACAACGTTTCACTGGACGGAGGATGGGTTGGCGGAATTCGTTGGCGCAATGTCCTACAGACCCGACTCGCATAGAGTTCGATTCCCGGCCACAGCCAACGTCAGTGGCGAGTGCTCTCTGAACCAGTTCTTGTCCCCCCCCCCCCCGCCCCACCCGCTCCTTCCCATCACAAACTCGCACTGACCAGAGTGGTGAAGTATATTCTATCACCCCCCCCCATCCCCCCGCTCATGGCTGCCACAGCCTTCATCCAGCAGTGGATTGGCAAATAAGCTATTTATCCGATGGCATCAATCGCCGTTCTCTCCAGAACATGTCGCCTCCGAAACGTCGTGATTTTTATTGTAGTTTACTTTAATTAATTTTAATGTTTTACCAACGTGACTTTACCGAAAAAAACCTAAGAATATGAATCCTTGCAGTCACGAAAGCTTCAAATCTAGAAATACGTCGCACTTTTTCCCCTACACTATTTTACAGCAAATGTTGACAGTGCGTCTTATATTCCGGTGTGTGCGCGTGTGTCTTAAACTACATATGCATAACTCTATTGCCGCGTCTTACTTTCCGGTGCGTCATGGGGTTGCAATAATTATACACACACACACATATAGGAGAAGATGCTCCATAATAAGCCCCAGGATTACGTCTGCGCGACAATTTCCGTGGCTTTAATCAACCGAAAGCAATCCGCAAGGTACTCACGTGAAGAATTCGCATCGCTTGGCTCCCCCAGTGGTATTCGTGTCATCAAAATACGCGCGACAGAGTTTATAAACTCTTAAGTAAAAAAAAACACACTCCGCTCAGGATTCGCAGCCTACTTTATGTAATCTACAGGTCTCTAGAGCTCCGTGCGTCTCGCTCTGCATGCAGAGACGATCTGGCTGTTAACAGTCAGGCTCGTTGCCGCTGGCTATAGGGAGTTGAAGTCGCGGTCGGTGAGTGGATGGGATGAGTGAGTGAGTGGATGTGCAGGTTTTTTGATAAATCCGCCTGGACCGCGTTGCTGCCGAGTTTTTTTTCTTCCAACTTTTGTTATTGCAGTGGCACAGGGCGTACCATGGCAGCAGCCCAGCCCGCGCTCGCCCCAGTGACGATTTGCAGACGCTGCGCCCACAGCCTCTGCTCGGCACGGCCACAGACGCACGGCCACAGAGGGAGGGGTTGGGGGTGGTGCCGTGAGGCCAGTCTGCTCATGCACGAAACAGCTCCACCCAAATCCACCGCACTGTGTCCCTCCACACACGCACGCGCGCGCGCACGTGTCAGCGTTGGTCTGTGTGTGCGTGTGAGTGAGTGACGCACGTGTGGGTATAAGCGCAGCCCCGCAAATGTTTCCCCGCGCAACTGCCGACGGAAGATCCTCCCACGAGAGCAGTGGGCCTTTCACCTTGACTGCAACCTTGCACCGCTTTTGTTATCGATTGTTAAAACTGTGTACAATGTTAATACCTGCATAGGGTTTGACGAAACAAAGTAAGTTGTGCTTAACGTGGCCCTGCCTAATTTTTTTTGTCGATTATTTACCTTCTATAAAGAATCTGGCCATGTCTCGCCACCCCCAGAAAGGGCATTTCGCACCCCTGGTTAAGAACCACTGCACAAGTGGCATCACAAGAGAGCCCCTGTCGATGGGATGTTTGCTTTTTATTTTGTTCTCCCCCCTCTTCCACCCTGAACATGAGTCTTGGACGCGGTGGGCACACGCACATTTCAACCCCGACCACACGTGACCGCCCAATCGTCTGACTGTGGCGTTACTCATCAATTCTGCTCGGTGCACAGAGGCGGAGGCATTCGAGAAAGTTGCCCCGTCGCTTCAACTGCCGCTCTCGTGCAGAGCGGGACAGCCCCGAAGCCACCTATAAGAATCTGTTCATTTATTGTCGTTGCATGGTGGTTACCCATCCGAGGGCTGTTATGCAGCATCAATCCTGCTTAGCTGCCGAGATCTGGCGAGATCGGGCGCTTTGCGGGTGATGTGGTTGTCGGCTACGGGCGTTCGTAATACACGCAAACACTTCCAAGCAAGACTCAACACACAAGCAGAACCCAAACCACAAACGCACACAAAGGGCGTGTACGCAGATCACCAGATCATCGGAGCAGTACAGATCTTGTGTTGCTGGTCAACATAGCGTCAGTAAGCAAAAAAAGCCACCAATTAATAAGGACGTCACTGGGCGGGCGTAATGAAGCATAGAGGGTACAGGCATGAGGAGACTTGCCCACTGATGATCATTATGAGGATACGTCTTGCTCCGGTAGAGACCAGTGCACAGAGAAGCCAAACCAAACACTCTAATGCTCCACCCAACTCCTGCCGCCAACAGCAGCAGCAGTTCCAACTCCACCTTATGGCCGGCAAGTACGGACCGGGATGGCTCCTGTCCTCCTGTGGTAGGGACGGGATTAGGGCCACCACCACCACCACCACCACAAAAAAAACACACAAGTCCAAACTGTCCCGCAAAAAAATATTACCCAACCCTGGTTTAGTATTTTTTTTCAACTTTCTTAATGCCTTTAAATGGTTGCCTTCGCCAGGTGTGACCACAGGATGGGACTTGAGAGGGCAGGCTGTGAATTCACCACATCCACTGAAATTAAATGAATCATTCATGTGTTGTCGCTGGGGTGCTCTTTAATTCTAAAACTCGCAGTGGCGTGAGCGGTGCTGGAAGCGATGACCTCGAGGTTGACCCTTTGCCATGCCCTCGCAATGCCGACGCTATCAGTTGACCGCTCGGTCAGTTTGCCTTACCCATGGATGTTTATAACCAAACGTAGATTTTTTTTTCTTCACAATTATGTTCAGCATACTGCTGATTTACGCAAGAAAACTTTACGTAAATATTTACTGAATGTCCTACGTAAGGATCGAGAGCAGTGGCGCAGTGTGGTTCGTTCCCTGCAGTGTGTGAATGCAGTGACCTGCGTTCAATTGCTAGTCACAGCGAGCATCAGCGACAAATTATATTTAAACCGGAGGTCAAACAACCCCCCATGACCGGACACGATACGACTTCAGGGTGCCTTCATCCAGCAGTGGATTGAGAAAAGGACGGTAAATTATGTTTCCGCATTTAAATTACGACATCACTGAACTCCGGACATCCTCGCAGCGGCTTTTGCCTGGCCACCAGACAAAGACGGTCACCGCATTGCACGCTTTCAGATCCGCTTCCGTGGCCGTCTGGAACGCTCTTCCTTCCGGTATTAGGAAGCCACTGGGAGCTATGCACTATTTAAATCTTTTTTGTGTGTTTAGTTTGTCCTTCCCTGCACCTCCGATTCGCACGGTTGGTTACTTACGGTGCAAAAGAAGTGCACTCTACATACATAACCGGATATTTTCTTTGATGCAGAAACAAGTTCAATTTCTACAAATCACGTGTCTGCCCAGTTCACAAAGACCAATAGAAGGGACCCTTTTCCCTTTCCGCTCATGAAGTAGAGGTGGGGGGGGGGGAGTAAATATCAGTACAATGTTTCTGAATAAAGCAAAAACCTGAAATAATTATTCATGCGAGCTCTGGGGCGTCTAACCTCATAAGCGAATCTGGAAATCAAATTGTAATCCTGAAAGAGCCGCACGAAGTCGCTTGAGCAGGTCCAGTCATGGGGTACAGAGGAGGGGATGGGGTGCCAGGACATACTGTGGTCAACATGAGAGGCCAACCAAAGTCTGCAGGATAACCACCCGCTTTCAAACATGTTATTGCCTATAAACGCTTTGTTTTGGAAGATAGTTGCAGGAAACTAAGGCGTGTCGTGTCAGTCCTACAGGTCATAACGTTTTATTTGACATCATTTTGAGGTCTGCAAGTGATTCATACTCTTAGTTTTTTCGGTAAAGTCACGTAGGTAAAAAATAAAATTAAAATTAATACAAATAAAATTAATAAAAAAAATCACGACGTTTCGGAGGCAACACAAGTCTCCGTCATCAGGTGGGACCGTCACAGCCAGATTTGCTGTATCACCTTGATATCACCTTGATACAGCAAATCTGGCTGTGACGGTCCCACCTGATGACGGAGACTTGTGTTGCCTCCGAAACGTCGTGATTTTTTAAATTAATTTTAATTTCATGTTTTACCTACGTGACTTTACCGAAAAAACTAAGAGTATGAATCCTTGCAGTCACGAAAGCTTCAAATCTAGAATTAGTCTGCAAGTGACATTGTGAACACGTCGTTGTTGTGAATTACACAACGTTGTCTCTGTCTCATTGCCTGATGATACGGGTGTTAGTCTCTCGTTTCTGCCTATGCATTTTTTTTGGGGGGGGGGGGGGAAATCGTCCAGTGATGTCGCGTGCAGCGTGTCCATCACGTTGAGAACTAAAGGAACGTACCGATGGAAGGGTCAGCTGCCAATATTCTCCGAGACAATATTTGTCGCCATCTGGTTACTCGGTCTCTCGAGCCAGATTTCGCCAGTCACAAAATGTATACCGTGCAATGAGTGCACCCATTAGACAGAATCGGAATATTTTTTTATACTGGAAGAATCCGACGGAGCGAAAAAAGCTCGTTTTCACCGATGCCCAGTCGGGGCAGGTCAGACAACGGGCATTGGGGCCCTAAAGCAAAAAGTGCTTAACTCAAAAACCCTATCGTGGGATTCGTGTCCCAGACGTTTCCATCAGCAGGCGCATAAACAGCGGAACGTTAACTACATTGCGCTCGTAAAACGAGCACGCAAGGCCATGTTTTTCCCAATCTGAATGCTGGCCGATTGCTATCAGATAATTCGTTACAAAGGCGTCCACTTTTAACTGCTGCCTACCACGGCGAATGAACCGCCAGGTAAACGAACGAACTCACCCTCACGGCTAGGCTCTTCTAAACTATTTGTCCGTAAAAAAAAGTAACGCGAGCAATCTACGAGGCAGACTTTTGCATAATTATCTCGAGCCTATCTTGGCCTGTGATCTAAGCGAAGTCGAGGGTATAAAGTGTGCCCAACGGTGCATTTTTCCTGTTGTTTTAACAACGCCGTGTTAATATTCTCGGTTCCAGAGAAATGGTTGGCTAAGGCCATATAATCCTGCCTCTGGGCTCGGTGCCAGGCTGGACTGAAAATTGGATCATTCCAAGACTCTCTTTGCAAACTGGGCTCCGGAGAGAATTGGACAGACGGGGCAGGCGATGCGTTTCACTCGATCGGTTTATTCGTCGTGGGTATTTGTGCTCGAATGCCACAATAACGGCGTGTATGCGTGACAATAAGACACGCGCGCACACACACACACACGCATCACGCAAAGCAGCATGCTAAAGTCTGCCGCATATTATGGTGCCTCCAAACCAAATTATTAGCGATTGCATCTGATCTTCTCAGGTCGAAGAAGCGAAGTAGTGTTGAGCCTGGGACTTGTGAGCAGTTAGATAAGGTGACTGCCTGAGAATGCCGGGTTTTGCTTTCGTAGGTAAGGCTTGGGCAGTAAGATTGCCAGGAAATGGTAGTACAGCGATGGATGCTTAAACCTATCTGTGCGGTGCTTTGAGCGTTACCTCCTCGTGTACGTGGTAGGTTTCTTCCGACACTCCGATTTCCTAACCATCTCCCAAACATTCGTTTTAGATGCTTTGCAGGACCGTCCTAAACACCAACATTTGTTTTAAAATACGGGGGGAGTGTGGAGTGGGGGCTCTTATAATCCAGAGAATATGGTAATATCCAACAGCATGCATGGTCGATATGTAGTAGTGTGGGACAGCTCACTATCTAGTCACTGACTTCTGAAAAAACATTGGAGCAGACTAAAGCTACGCCAAATCAATAGGTAAATACATACAACTAAGTGTTTATCAGCTTGGGCCAGGGGGTAAATATTGACCGACGTAGTGGAATGAGAAAACACCAGCACAGATCAATATATACCTGCCGCTGCAGTGCATACACCCTTTACTTAGGAAAAGGGTTTCAAAAATCAATTAAGGATAGTAGATTACACATGGAAAAAAAATTTGGACCTTTTAATTCAACTGCGAAATAATTGTTGAATTATAGACTGTTGGGGCAAGCTTTGGCAGCGAG